CTTCCCCTCCTTGCTTTTACGAATGGAAGAGCAAGCCATGCTTGCATCTTTAAGAGAAAAAGCTCAAGATACCAACTGCACTGGTGCTTTTCTGGCTGTTAGGGCAAACTCTGCCCAATACAGCCTTCAGTAGCAAAACCATACATGAAACAAGATTCTGGTAATGACAACACAGGACTGACTTGAGGATGGTGATAAGGAAACTTCTTATAGGAAAAGTATCTGTCTGTCTGTCTGTCTGTCTGTCTGTCTGTCTATCTATCTATCTATCTATCTATCTATCTATCTATCTATCTATCTATCTATCTATCTGCCATAGGAAAACAGTCAGAGGTTTGTAAATAAGCTGTGCTTATGCATCCAAGCAGATGCAATAAATATCTTGGCCCCATACTATCAAAGCACCCTTATAGAGACCAAAATACAGGGTAGCATCCTACAGTGTACAGCTAGTATCAGCACTGATTATATGTGGTAGAAACGTGCATGTGATGTTTAAGAATTTCCATCAACAGGTAAAGGCAGAAAGACAGACTGAACCACTGGTGGAGTTTCTGAAGGCTACCCAACGTCTGCATCTGAAAGTCAGTTCTCACAGAGGTTTCAGCTTGATCCTCATCTGTTGCTTTTCTGTAATGTTGGGGACAGAATTCGAAACATTTCTAATCTCATTCATTTCAACACGGGTGAACCAAGGCTGACTACGACCATGTCTGCAACTGAGTTAGAATGAGAGCGCAGTATTGTATCAAAAAGCCAGAGTAAAGTTAGGAAAGGAAATTACATTATTTGGCAATTAATTACACACATAAAGAGCTAAGTTACATCTCATCAAGTGATATAGCTTATTCAGAAGGCAGACTTTAGCATCTCAAACACAGAAAGAAAATCTGAAAAAGCCTAGGGGAAAACTTAAGCCTGGGAACAGAACAAAACCAACATTTGGTAGATGGACATCCACATGAATCCACAGTGACCTCCAAAACCAGAATTTCAGAGTTGCAGTCTCCCATGGTCAGAGCCATTGAGAACAGCACAGTGAAGCTTACTGCACTTTGGTAATTGCATTGATTTTAATTACTTCTCCAACAGATTGGAAAGCAATTAATCAATACAAACTGCATTTAATTCTTTGGATTTTTTAAGTTCAGTATGACATTTTAAGCCTTACAGATTCCTGGACTTTGTAACACATAGCGGGGGTTTATATTTAAAAATCAAGCACTTCACAAATACACCTTCTGTGATATTTTCAATGCTGTTATTGAAGTTTTTCTTTTACAAAACCCCCTTGTTTTCAGAAAACAAACAGAAACGTTTCGTGAGTGGAGAAGTGGAGAAGAACAACATAGCAAATATAAAAAGCAAGAAAGAGACCGGGGCCACTTCCAATCCTGTGCAATGGAAACATTTTCAAGTGTTTTGTCAAAATCGCTTTTAAAAATCACTCCATTAGCCAATTAATCAGGCACATAAGAACCAGCTGCACAGACACGAATGTAAGCACCAACTGCTGCAGCTTCGTGACGTGCAGAGGATCCTGCACTGGAGGCGGCGGCAGAGCCCAACCCAGCAGCTCCGAGAGCCCCGGTCACGACAGTCCCCCGTGCCTCCACACCCCTGTGAACCGTCTTGCTTGCTTCAATTTTTGAGGCATATGTAGCTGTAGAGACACACAATACATATACTGACGGTTTGGTTTGTTTTTTTTCAACAAATCATGATCTTCCCTTACCTGTGGTAGAAAACAGAGGCCTGGCAAGATCCTGTGGGTAATGGAAGCCTGGAAACACTCCAGGGGCAGGAGGTCTGCTGAACAGGTCAAGTTTACCACCTATCTCTAGTTTGTGGGGATCCAGCTGCATTTGCTGTCAAATGATATAAAACCAATCTCATTATACACTTCCTTTTTTATGGGAGAAAAAGAGAGGGAGTTCCGGCTCGCTCCTGCTTAGCCCTGCCAAGGAGAGTTAGTGAGAGTGACAGCAGCGTCTCTGGTCACGTACCACAGTCATGCTCTGACAGCATCTGTAAGGCCACTTCACTCCACAGCCTCTCAGCTGCCTGCCTCATCCACATGAACAAGGTCTGAAGTGAGCTCTCAGCCCCTCAGCACACACAGAGGAGCACGCAACATGATACACTGAGTGTGCTGCACCCCAGGACCAGTCGGCGCTCTCAGCCTGACAAAAAATATTCCGCAGGCGGAAAGCTGCTGACAGAAGTCTCGAGAGCTGGGTGACGGACTTGTCTGTTTTGCTTCTCCAGTTTGGAAAGACAGAGCTGTTCCTAGACTATGCCCCTCCTGCAGCTAGTACAGCTCAGTACACAGACAAGGGGTGAAGGATAAAGAAAATTGTGAGGCTCTTTCAGAAGCTATTTTTATCCTTCACCTATAGAAGTGAGCATGGTCAGAACTGCACCTAAGTCATCTAACTCCCTCAATAGCTTAAAGATGATATATTTGCGTAGAAAAAAAAAAGGACATACATCCCTTGTAGAGGCACTAATTATGGTGCATCTACTTAAGCACCGAATAGTCTTCATTAATGGGACAAAATACTATAGCAGGAGCTATGAAAAAATAAATGCTACAGAAGTCCCATTATCAGCTATTCTGTCTGCCACAGGGAACGTTGAGCCTGTAACAGCACCCCAGAGTACGTATGTCTTGCTACCTCTTGAGTTTTAAACCCCCTCCCTCTGCCCATCATCACTGCAGTGCAGGAAGGCCAACAACCTCTAACACAGTAACTATCAATCTACTCGCCTGCTCTGTATTTTGTAATATGGTCCTCACTGTATCAGTCATTTTATTATGAATGGGACAGTACTACATATTCCACAGGAGGCGCTAGTACAGAAGGGAAATGACATTAAACATGTATGCTTTGCAAAAAAGATGGATTTGGGGCAAAATCACCTCCCCCCTCCCTTTCTTCTCTTTCTGGCTGTGCACTTAGTATCTCCTGCTCATTTTGCTACCCTTCAACCCAACGCCTTGCCCTCAGATAAACTTTACAGTTGCTACAATAAATGTTAAAGGATTGAAAGTGTTAGTTAATCGATACAGGCAAGCTTGAGAATCACCAACAGTAACTGCTTCCTGCTCATTACTCACTAAGATATAATCTGTAAGCCAAAAGACTTGGCTTTGTTCCAGAGACTGACTGAATTACCTTTATCTTTTGCTGGTGATGGTAGATCTGCCAGGCGATCTGTACATGAACCGCACACCACTTCCCGGGTTTCTGCAATGGAAAGCACAAGAATTTAGATTAATTTATACGTTAGCAATCTACATCAGATAGAACGTTTCATTTCCCTTACTGTCAAACAGGCAGCTAAGCAATGAGAAAGGCTGATTACTAAAATGGCACAATAGGTGATCAACATTTTTCTCTGTACTGCAGCAGATGATGTTTAAATTAAGAAGGAAACAAACAGGAAGAATGTGGGATGTGGGATATATTCCTCATCTCATGGAGACCTGAGATGCCTGCCTTGTTCTTTCATACTTGCACTCCCTCCTTCATAAACTGAAATAAATGGCAGCAAAGAACACTATGTCATGCTTAAGAGAAAGCAATTAATAGTTAACAGTTCTGTTTCTGAAAAGAGCCCTGTTTGTTCATCCCTGCTGCACTGCAGGCTAAGGTATGCATGGTTATTACGGCTGCTTGCATTTGGGGAGGAAAGCGGTATGGACAAACAATCACCAGGGATGAACAGTGCCACAGCTGAACGAGTTACTGTTTTTCAGCTGAGCTACGGTACTTACTGTGGGGTGTTTTTGTGGAACATCAGAAGCACAAATAAAACACATTGACCTTAGCCACCATGAATCTGATCACTGGTGAGTGTCTGTCTGTGCTCACAGTCTTTATTTCTGTGACCCTTATTTCATACTGTGAACTATTAATGCACATAAATGGATGCAAAATAAGGTTGGGATTCAACCTAAATGTTATTAATCAGAAGCAGCTAAGAGCTAACTAAGATCTTTTGCTTTAAATAAAGGATGAGTGTGAAATTTTCTGCTGGACATGTTGAATTTCAAAAACACATGCACAATATTTGAAGTGTGTGTATATATATGTATATAAAATCCCCCACAAACCTTACTTACTCTTACTGGAGGCCTATAAGGGTCTGACACCTATGGAAAAAGCAGAAATAAAACAATCAGTCTTTCTAAAACTAGCTAATATACAGAAAGGTTCCTTCCTCTGAACAAATAAAAGCATTTAGAAAGCAATGTTTCAGAGAAGTCCCCTGTGACATGGGAAACCTAAAAGGCTTAAAGGAGGCTTAAACCTTCCCTTTCATTCCTTGCACTAAACTCAGCAGAATTTTATGATAAAGCAGCTTCATGCCAGCAGCTGAACAGTGCCGGTGCTTTTCTGAACTTTATAATCGTTCTGAAATGGAGCACATAAAACTACTCTCCAAGCAATGCTTAGGGGAAAGACCTTGAAGGGGTTTCCTGCCCCATTTCTCTCTGACTTTGTTTAAAGAAGACAATACATCCCTTTGTATTAGCGACTAGTGGAGGCTACTGTTGTCCCATCAGAAACTTCTGTCCTGACTGCACGTTCAGAGTCTAGAAGGCCCCTTTGCTCACCAGCTGCTCTCTCCTTTTTTTTAATGAGCAATCACTGTGTTTACTGTAAAACCAGATAAGCTGAAAGGAAGGTTATATATTGTTGCCTACCCCTGGAGTCTTCTGCAGCAGCGTATGGTGGACTGTGCCTGGTCTACCTGCTACATCAATAGGGTTTGAAGTCTGAAAGAGAAGAATAGAGCGTGAATAATACTGTATCACACCAGCGGTACATTTAACATCTCTATCTGATGTTAATGGCATTAATTAGTCTATGTTTGTACTGTGCTTTGAACGCGCGTATTGCTACATTAGTGCTAAATGTTATCTCTTACTGACAGCCAACAGCGTTTAACCACCATGTCATCTATTATTATTCAGCAGCAGTAACACTATTACAGCGGCACCCCCAAGCCCCACTGAAATCACAACCCCAGTGTGCTATGCAGTATGCAAGTGGATGGGAAGAGACAGTCCCTGCCCCCCAAGCTTCTTCTTTAGACGAAACAGGCAGGCAGTAGGAGAGAATGAGAGGTGGACTGGCTCCCTCCATGTGTCACACAGCAACCAGTATCGCAGTCAGAAACAGAACAACTCAAGCACCTTAGTCCCATATTGCACCTACTGGACCATGGCCCCCCTCCGACGGGGGCTAGATAATACAATGGCTAAAACGGCAACAGCCCATCTATTTGCTTCGACAAGGCAAGATGAGAAACCTTAGAAGGTGCTTGTGGGTCTTTTATAGCTTTGCATTGTTTATCCCATCATTTTCCAGCAAGAATTAAACACCTCATCGAATGAATCCCTGTTCCTCCTCCTCCGGATCCCACCTGTTGCCCTGTCCTAGACGATCCCCAAGAACTCGTTCATCTTCTCACTCTGGCATTCATCCATCTCCCACTCCCAAAGCAACTGCACCTGGTGCCTCCGCACAGCTGAGTGTGGAGGGGTTAAACCTCATCCCCCAAGAGATTATTTCACTCACATTTTAGGTCAAATTACAGTAGATTTCAAACAGTCAAACTGTACAAGGAATGAGTAAAATCATGGGTGTGGGAGGAAAGATAGGTTTTAATTTGTCTAAGGCTACATAACTTCCAGAGTCACTAAAAAGAGAATTCTCATGTGTGTGTGTAGGTAAGTCAATGAACTCCCCAGGCAGATCTGTGTTCTCAGGGCCTGTCTGACAGCTGAGGTATATATAAGGTGGCAAATAAGTTACAGCTATCATACAGGCAAGAGCTTTGAGATCAGAACATGTTAATAGCATGGTGTCATCCTGTCCCTTTGTCCCCTGGAGAAAGATGTGAATGCTTCCTCCAGCAAAGTAAACTGAATACTTCTGACCTTTTCAAGTTCTTGGCTTGTGAGAAATGGCCTTCGGGAAACTCACTGGGAAGTTTACCGTCAGCCTGGATTTATGTGCAGTGGATTTACACGCACAGCTGTAGGCAACTGACACGGGAAGGCGAAAAACAAAACCAAGACCTCTGCTTTGGAAAGCAAGAAGTGCAGGAGTCAGCGTGCCAAAACCAAATCATCAGGTCTGTAGTGATTATGAAGGCTTTAGTCAAACAGCTTGGGAGGGAGAGAGCATGGAAAAACGATGCAGTAATGATGACTAGAGTGGTTTTGCCCAGCAGTTCAGCTCTGTCTCCTCTAGGAATCTGGAAAATAATGTGCCAAAGTGGCAGATCTATTTTTCAACCTATTGCTCTTTTTTTTTTTTTTTTTTTTCAGATGTTACATTGCATGTAAGTAGAGCACTGTCCAGAGATCAAGTGATGTTAGTGATTAACCATGGAACCAGAGTGTGACCTTGCGCTGCTTAAACGCAAGCTAGCAAACTTCTATGTATCTACCACTGAAATTAATTAAAAGCTAGTTTTTATACAGCACTCAGAACTGTTTAAAAATGTAAAGGGTCTGTGCTCACTTTTTCTTTCTCGCTATGTAACTGCTTCTCTTTGTTCTAATGGTATTTTGCAGTGAGATGGTATCTATAAAGCTCTGTAATGAAGATGGAAACCAGAAGAGCATGCTATCGGTGTATCAGTCGCTCCTGATTAGCAATAGCCTTATGGCAAAACTGAACCCTATCTTCACATTAGCAAAATTTTGCCAATTCCACCTTATTTGTACAATTCCTTTTCTTGGTAAGTCAAGTTCACATCCCGACAACTTGGGGTCTGTAGGGACCTCCTGGCATCCCTTGCAAGAATAGCAAGAATTAACGCTGGCGGACAAACTCCATCAAGGGATAGCTATGTTCTGTCCCTCTTGCTCCCTCTGCTTAGATGCAACTGCTCCTCTTTGCCTGCAGCCACTATATACAGAACTCTTGTTGAAAAAAGCCATTTTAGAGACTTTGCTATTTGTAATGTATCCAGAAAATAATGTAAGTGATTCGATGGGCACTGAGGAAATACTCCAGCTTCCATTAAAAAAATTAAGGTAAGTGGGAAGGTTGTAAGAGGCCTTATTTGCAGCAGTTGCTAATTACTGACTTCCACTGATGTCAGTGAGACTGCTGAGGGAAGCACACGCCACAGCCCTGCTGGGTATGGTGATGGAAATGACTTTCAATATGCAAACAGAAATGGTCTGGCTACAGTGCTGGTCCTTCAAGTCTTCTGACACAGGAGCAGAGCTCTATGGAAATGCAGTTCAAGATAAGAAATCTCTAAAATCACAGTATGTAAAGGAAGCTAAACACGTCACCTCATCCATTTTCAAACAATGCTATATACTTGTTTGGAAGGATTTAACGGTTTCTCTACATTTAAAAATAGCTAATAAAAGAAACAAGTCTGTGAGGAAAAAAAAAACAGTGCACACCACAGAATTCATCAAAAATGGTGGTTATCATGGCAACATTTCCAAATACCAATCTGCGCTAGTTATAATAATAAGTTACAGTTGCAGTGCACCTTTCAAACACACTATCTCAAAGAAGCTTGCAGGCATTAATCAACCCTTATAAAACCCACTGCAAGATAACTTTATAGATGAGGAAGCTGAGGAACAGAAGATTTAAGCGACTTGCCCAAGGTCAGACAGTGTTGGAGCTGGGAATAAAAGCTCAGCTCTTTCAAATTGCTCTACCCATTTACAGCAGTCTCTCCCTATTGTTCCCACACTTGTACAGTCAATTTCTCATTTTTTTCTGGGAATAAACACAGTTTATCTTTTGCAATCTCAGACTGTTAAATTTATGACATTATTTGGGACTCATTGGTCTATTATTAGCTGTTAATATTTCAATCAAATAATGCATGTGACTCTATGCTTCTCCTCCAGTTTCAGCTGACCTCCCAAGTGAACCACTATCTCCTTTTCCAAGGAACAATCTGTAGTGCCAAGAGAAAATTTCTGCTGAAGTGTTGGCTGCTTTGTGCAGAGGATGCTCACAGATCTGCGGGGTGATCGCTTCCAACCCCATGCTGCACTTCTGCTAATTAAATCATGTGCTACAAAATCACCAGAGACACGACTCTGAATACAGTTTCTCTCCCAGCAAAAGAACAAAGTCTTCAGAAGAAGTAGTTTGTACCTTCGGTTGAAATGCTCCCTGAAGTGACCCAAAGGGACCTGAATGTGGAAGCATGGGTGGCATTCCAGGCATTGCTGGAGGATAGGTTGGAAAGAACTACAAAAGAAAGAGAGATGCTTATGTCACAGGACAACTTGAACAACAATGGAGGTAGGTGCCAAGCCTGGCACATACAAAAATAGTACTGTGTTGAACGAGTGACACAGTGAAAATACACACTAAATTTGCTTTCAAAATTTTTTAGAGCAAAGCCAAAACTTGGAAAATGCGCTCATCTGATGAATTTTCTAGATAGTGCTGAACAAGTGTGCCTTTAAAATTTGTGGACTATTACAGGAAGCACAGACCATTCACCATATTTAGAGGAATCTGAATAATCTGGGTGTTTTGTTCACTTTGGGTTAAGTTTGCATTTTTCTGCAGTAGCAAACGAATTGATCCCATTTTGAAATGTGACCTGCTTGAATTTTCAAAGTAAAAAAGAACCACAAGATGCTGCATTGCACACTAACCACAGGCAACATGCACATCATCTTGTAGTTGTGTAGATGGGGTTAAGTTTTGCTTAGGCCTCTCCTGAGCACATACAGCAGTTTTACAAGTCCCAAAACATATTGTTTTTGTGCTTTGGAGCAGTGGGGAGCACCAGGAAGAAACCACCAGTCTGACTTACTCCTGTGACCTGAGCAAAATCTTTTGAAAGAGCCATGCACTCCGGGCTGCTGCACTGTGAGAAGCACCAGCTGCAAAGATACTGCAATGACTACTGATTTAGCAATTTCTGCGCATTCCCTGCCATCCCAGGCACAGCAATATAGAGCCACAGCAGCAAAAATGCAGTAGACAAAGATTTAAAAAAAAAAAAAAAAGCCCAAAGAAAATTTTGTACATTAAAAAAAAAAATCAAGATGGAAAAAGAGCTTTAGGAATGAATGAATCAAAACACTACCGATCAATCGAAAACAAGCAAAAGAAGTGCAAGCAGAACCGTTAATAAAGACACCACCTTGAAAGGTAAGCACTCACATTGGAATGTCGAAAGTAAGGGTTGTCTAATTTGGGAGCGTACTTGTCAAACTGGAAAGAAAAGAGACAAAAAAGGAAACAGGTGAGTTTGGTTTCAGCAGTAGTGGACACATCAGGATTTCAACACAGACAAATCATCATGGCCCGTTTGTACAGCATTTCACAGAGCAGAACTGACTGGTTATTCCACACGCGCTCATCGGGGAGCTGACTGATTTCCCAAAGCTAATGGAGACGGAAAGGCGCTAGC